TAATGAGCTGCTAAACGGCCAGATACATTTGTTCTGCGAGCGCGCGCCGGAGGCAACTGGAGGGGTAAAAACCAAATCACGGGGGGAAATAAAAAAAAATGCATCGAGTCATGTAGCAGCAGTAGGTAGGCATAGTAGTAAGTCTCGGCCAAACAAAAAGCTATATAAGGGGAGGGGGACGGGGGCATTTCCGCGCCGGCGAATACATATGGGATTCCGTCATGGTTTGAAAGCGCGGCGCGGAGTCGCAAATGTTGAGCATCAATCGCATTGTGCCCCGGGAATACAGAGACAGGCTGGCCTCGGCGTGTGCAGCAGGGCCTGGGCTGCCGTCAGAGGACCGGGCCGGGCCCGGGCGGGCAGCAGCGCCACGAGGCAGGCCATGAGGCAGGACGGGAGAGGCAGGCGAGGCTCGAGGAGCTTCTCTTTCGCCTCCTTTACCTTCGCCTTGCCTTGCCACGACTGACCTCTCCCCCTCCCCGCTGCTCGTCTCCCTTAGGGGGGCTGGCGGGCGGCCGGTGCCGGCCACGACGCGACGCCGGCAAGGGTCACGAGGGTCAAGCTGGCTCATGTGGCCTGCAGCAGCGGCGGCGGCAGCAGCAGCAGCAAAGTATTATCGACCAGAGAGAGAGATGACTTCATACTTATCGTATCGAAGCAGGAATCCTCGTGCTGCTTAACGAAGCAGGAAGCTTTTCTGAAAACACCGGGTATGGACGGGCAGAGACACGGCGGGGGCAGAGAGCGTAATGCGAATATGATGGTGAAGTGTAATTACCACCGCCGTGGTGCACCCGCGCTCAGCCTGCGCGATGGTCGTCATGGTCCGGATGACGAAAGATGATGGTGTTCGTCGTGGTCCTCGAGTCGAGGTGTTAGTTGGACGTTGCTGGAGCTCCAGAACAACAAAGAAAGGGCCTCAATCCTCCTCAATCCACTCAAAACCGAACATTGGATACGTAAAATTGCTTGAACGGTTTTCCAACTTTCCTCACTTTCCTCCTGTATTTACAGTCATTTCCACCGTGTCAGTCTTCAAGTATCTAAATTTCTTGAAAAGGCGTAATTCTTCTCCCAGGTATTTATTTTTACTTCATAATGATTGAATGGAATAATTCTTTCCTCTTGTAGAATGGTCAATTTGAGCGAATGGGACAATAGGAGGTGCCGATGCTGGCATTATGTTCGGGGTGGGGTGTAACTATGAGGTGACAAGGGCAAGGAGAGGAGGCACTTTTTGCCCACCGGTAGAGACCGTTTAGGGACTGTCTAGAAAGGGCCCTAAAGGGCGATGAAGAGCTTCTGGATTCAGCCACTTCTGTTTCTGATTTTGCCTAATATGTTTGGAAGTTGCCTGCCACTCGCAAGTATTGCTGACAGCCGGGATGGCGACCGGAGGCACGTGTAACAGAGCCTGCGGGACCTCCGCGCGGGGTAACGGGGCCCGGCCTCCTAAAAGCCGCGCATCATTGTCCAAGGCGTCGCGTCGGCAGCCTCGGCCCCGAGAGTCCCATCCGCGTGTCCCGGGCCCCGCGGGTGACCTCACTGCTGCCGCCGTTGGAGTGCCTCCGCATCGCATGGGGAGGGGTTTCACTCCGCTAAACTCCGCCGCCGCCGGCCCGACCTTTGTGAGGGGGCGGGTCAGGTGTTCGGGGGTCGGGGGTTAAACCAGCCAATAACAGCGGGATTTCGCACATAACCCAACACTCCGACAAGCAGCGGTGTAAATCACACTGAAGGGGCCTTAAGCCGACAGCGCTACAGCTTCCCCAGGCGGCCGCCCCGCCGTGTGCGGCGCTAGCGACTAAAGCGGGATCGCAGAGCGCAGCACGGCCCACCCACGCGTGCGCAGCAGCACTGCTCAGCAGGTCTCAGCACGGCTCAGCATTCAGTACGCCACAACAACGGCTCAGTACGCCACAGCAACGGCTCAGTACGTCACAGCAACGGCTCAGTACGCCACAGCAACGGCTCAGTACGTCACAGCAACGGCTCAGCACGGCTCAGCACGGCTCAGCACGGCTCATGCAGCACGGCTCAGCACGGCTTAGCACGGCTCAACACGTCTCAGCACGTCTCAGCACTGCTCAGTACGCCGCGGCGGCGCAGCACGGCCCACCCACGCGTGCGCGGCGCGCCTCGGACAGACACGGGACGCCGCGGATGTGGATTGGATTTTATGGGGTGGACTCGCGGAATGCATTTATGAATGCAAGAGGTGCATCGCGGGCACGAGAAGAGCGAGTGAGCGAGCAAGCAAGAGAGAGATAGAGAGAGACGAGCTCTCTTTATAGCAGCTGTAAATAAGACCCCCTGTCCCGCCCCGCCACGTACGGCCAAGGTTAGATTGCTTTCGACTGGTGCGGAGGGTCAGGTCAGGTCCCGCCGTTCCCACCAGCCGCACCCCCACGGTCCTTCTGCACGTCACAGACTTCCACACACGCGCCCTCCCCAAAAGTCTTTATCAGTCGGCAAGACGAGTGCAAGTAGTATAAGTTAACATGTCCGTTGCACCCCCTCTCGCCCGGTTACGGCCGGCTGACGACACCTGGGTGAGCGAGCGAGCGCGCTGACATCACTGCTCGTCAGGCTGGCCAGGGAGCCGGGCTGACGTCATGGCGGGGGGCTGCTCGGGGCCCCCGCCGTGCCGGTAGAACTATATGCAGGAGGAGTTACATATTGAAATTGAACGCGACGAGAAGTCGGAAGGTTGCCCCCGTCGTCGCGATGAGCGCACCAACCTGCTGCTGCTGCTGGCCTCGGCCCGCTCGGCCACAGCAGCGACTGCTGGGTGAGTGTATAGGCCTACGACAGCTCAAGAAGAGGGCCACAGGAGGTGGATGAGCTACACTAGAAGTGGCCGGCCCGTCCCCCAAACCGTCAGCCGCCCGGTACTTTTTTCGTTTGTCGCCGAGGTCCCCCTCATGTCAACAGGAGTGATTGATCACAGCGTGCGGTGCGACCGTCGAGCGCGTCGCTTCCGCAACGGCCGCGGCTCAGCTCGCCTAGAGTTCTATAGACTCTAGGACTCTAAGCTCGCCCCGCCGCCGCAGGGCAGCCAGCCCGCCCGCCCGCCTCGGCGACGACCGCCGCCCGCCTCGCGGGCACTGCAGTCCCGTCGAGCGCCGCCGCACGCCGGGCTGCCTAGCTCCCGGCGGGCTAGAGGCGGCGGCGGCCGGCCAGCCCCCGCGCGCGCTGGCCGCCGCACGAACAATTTTAAAGTCTCAAGATTTTCAGGAAGAAATTGAGAACTCTCCCAGAAAAATGTACTAGGAAAACAAATATTTCCGGAAAATAAATGAAAAAAGGAAGCCAACAAACTTTAAGGAAACCCATTTAAGAATAGAAACAAAAATCTTGAAATGTTTTCGAAATCTCCTTTTTTTAAAAATTTAAATCCCTGCCCCGCTTGGCCACGCCACCCCGCCACGCCACGTCATCACGTGACCCGACAGGGGGCTGCCCGCACCAAACGGGCTGCCCGCCCCGCGCTTTGTTGACAGCCCCGTCACGTTACCCGGCCGGCCAAACGTCACGGGTGACGTCCACGTGGGCCGGGATGAAAGAAAACCTGCCGTGGCCGTGGCCACGTGGAGTCGGACATAATAGCCCCTCCTGTATGTGCACAACGTCATAGCGGGGAGGGCGGGCTTTACAAGCTGCCGAGTGCGGCTATTCCGGTTAACTATCCCGTGCAGCGACCTTGCTTCAAAAAAAAACATGACCGTGGAGGCGATAAAAAAGAAACGGGTGCAAATGCGCGCGCGGCGGGTCGTATGGAGTGCAGCGAGCGGGGAGGGCCGTGTTCCTGCACCAGGCTCCCGTCCGCCCCCTCGTATCTGATCCACCCCCGTGAGTGTTTACAGCCACACCAAGAATTAATCATGACATTGGCCCACACAGCTGT